GGGTGACCTTTAAGTATAGAAAATATGGAATAATAAGATATCTTCTCTAAACTAAGGGGCGAAGCCCCGAACTAATATATCTACGGGGGAACCCCGGGAATATTTCGGCTCGGTAACCGTAGGCCCTAGCTCTAACGGTAAACCGCCGTGGAACGCGGTTCTAATAGTAGACTGCCGTGGAACACGGTTCTGATAGTGGACCGCCGTGGAACACGGTTCCTATACCTTATCTAGTATCTATAGTGCGCCGGGGCATATTAATAGCGGTACCCGTAGTAATAGCGGTATAGTCTATAGTAATAGTAGTAGCCTCTCTCGTAGTAATAGCGATAGCCTCGCCTTTATCTATAGTAATAGCGGTAGCGTCGCTTTTACCCGTAGTAATAGCGGTAGCGTTAGAGTCTTCCGACTTAAGATCTAATACGTCTACGGCTATACCCTTTAATAGTAGCCTATTCACGGTCTTATTAGATTAGGTAATATGGATAGATTATAGGCGTTCCCCGATTTCCTTAGCGGAAGGATAGCTTATAGCGTTTTGATGCTGCCGTTAAATATCTTATCTTTATTAAAGACTACGTCTCTCATGGTGATAATATCTGTTAGGTATAGTAGCTAAACACGGAAGCTATTCGAGGATTAGTATCCGACGTGATAACCGATCTATACCTTCGGTTCTAGCCTTTATAGGCGGTTCCTTTTAGCTTAGGCTTCGCGCGTTTTTATAAAGGCTTTATAGCTATAAGCTTATAGGTATGTAAGGTTAGGTTGACGGCCGCGTAGGCCTTCGTATAGCGTTCGCTAGTTATTAATTTATCGTGGCGTCCTGTTATATAGATATGTAGCAGTCTTAAAGATCTTAGGCTAGATAGATATAGGCAGATTAGCCCTAATCCTTATAGCCCTTGCCCTCCTTTTAACGATACCTTTAATCCGTTCTGTAACGCTATTCTAATCCTATAAATATAGTGCCGACGGCTAACCTTCTACCCCCTTAGTAGCGAGGAAAGTAACGATTTCTGGGTATTAAAATATCTTAGAATCGGCCCGTAGAACGCGTAGCCTAATATCGAATTAGGTCTTAAGTAGGGTAAAAACGTTTTTTAGAGCGTATAGAATAGAGCCTTAGTCTCTCTTCTATAGGTAGTAATCCCATGTATAACCTATATACACGTCTATAACGAATATAATAGACTTATATAGTCCGCCCGCTAATTACTCCGCCTATTGTAGATCGTGAAAAGTAATAGCTAGGGCCTCTCCGGCCTTTAAAGGGTAAAGGGATAGTATCTGCCGGATCTACGTAGGCACTTATAATTACCTATATGCGTTATAGTCTATTATACGAGGTCCCTTTATCTTTACCCCCTAAGTAGCGTCGACGATCTTTACGAGAGTATCGGTGCCGTAGTGGCCGAGGCGTTCATGCTACCGTTATACTATAGTCTTCTACGTTTACCGCGGTTATCGTGATCTTCTATACGGGTTATCGCGGAGGTGCCTTACCGAGACCGCGAACGCGGTGGTGGCTATAGCTTCCGCGCGCTCGATTATATACTAGCTATAGATATTTAGTAGCTTATAGATAGGCCGGTTATCGGCGGAGCTAACGATAGTATTATTTACGGTATCCTAGCGGTAACCTTATAGGCGTAGGTAGTATTCCGAGACGATATTAGTAGTAAATTCCTTATAGTATACGATATCACGGAGGCGTAGTAGCCTCTTTATGCCTGATAGGGATTATATACGTAGCTTAATATCTCTGTATCCGAGGATAGGAGCCTTATAGGTACCCACCTAAAGCGTTAATAAATTAACCGTGGGTGGTCTAATAGCCGTAAAACGGCCTTAATTATTAAAGATATGGATTAACGATCCTGAGTCTAGGATCGCGTAGTATAATAGCGTTTTAGCATAGTTAATAGAAACGGATATCCCCTATTCTTATTATAATCTTAATAGTGTTATCGTACGATAACGCGTTATCCGCTAGGTTGGGGGGGCTCTTAGTCTCCCCGTCGCGGTAACGGACAGGTCTTTATAAACTATAGTAGGCGTAGTATTATAGAGTTAATCTTCCTAGACTTCCTCTATCTTATTAGCGGTGATAGCCCCTAAGGCTTCCCGCCTTTTCTGTATCGCGGTGTCTACGCGGCTTTTGAAACTATAATTACGTATCTTCTTTTCCGTAATCTTTATAATATCTTTATTGCCACGCTAGGTATAAGAGCGTATATCCGGTCTTACGTACTAATAGGCGGCGGTGGTATAGGTATTTTCGTATATCTTATAAGGCCTCCTTATTACGGGAGAGATAGCCTTTACAGACGTATTACTACGAGGGCGCTTCTTATTATTATCGTTACTAGTAGTAGTAGTATCCTTAGTATTGGGGAGGTTCCTAAGAGTATTAAAGATGCCTCTCCCGACTCTAGGCTTTATAGTGGTAGATTATAGGCTCTTTATATTACTAAGAACCGCATGTAGGGCCTTTACGAAGTTATTAATTATTAGCTTATTTTCCGTAATCTTATCGTAGTTATTTACTAGGTAGTTATTACTCTATTCCTAGGCGATAGGTCTAATAGCTTTTAACGCGTCTTCCGCCTAATAGTCCGCGCTTAATAGCTCCACGACGCCTATATATTTATAGTATATTATCGCTATTTTCTAGCTTACTACCTAGACGTCTATATCCTTAGGTATAGCCTTTATAGGCGTGGTATATTATCGGTATAGGACTAGGGCTTCCTTATAGAGGTCTATAGGTATCGGTCCTGCGTGCGCGTATAGAAGGGTAATCTAGGCCCGTGGGTTATTTACGGTATCGTCCTATAGCTCGGCGAGGAGGTTATATAACGTGGTATAGATAGTTCCTTTAATATAGGAACGTACCTCGTTAAATTCCTTCTACTACGCGTCGTAATCTGCCTTTTCCTCGCGGTATATACGGCGGTCTTATAGGTAATATATACGCACCTTTTTAGAGAGGTCGTTAATAGACGTGGGCGTCCTGGTTAGGGGCTCTTTCGTTACGGCCGTAGCCGTGGCCTTACGGCGGGCGGCCGTCTTCTTTTTACCGGTAGCTATAGTTGCGGCCGTGGTAGCTATAGCTTTTATAGTATCCGTGGCCTTATCGCCCTTTAGCGTGATAGTGGAAAACAGAGTAGCCGTGACGGTAGTGGCCGTGGCCTCCTCCGCGTTAGGGTCCACGGCGAGGGCTTTATATTTACGAACGTTAGGGGGTATAGATATAAGGAGGAGATAGGCGTTAGCCTCTTTATCGCTTAGCTTTAGCCAAGAGGGTTATTACCTAGTTAGAACTAAACTTAATAGTATACTAATAGTAACGCCGCGATATAGGGACAACTTATATTCTTATAATAATAACCGCTATTTACACACTAAAAGTAAGTAGCACTTATACCTATAATATTAGTGGTAGCCTTAACTTTATCTAGGTATCTACCTAGCCTTTTGGTATAATATAAGTAACTATCTCCTACTAGCAGCTTTTATACCGCTTTAATACTACCTTGCTCTATATATGTGTAACTCGGATAGTTGCTGAGTTATAGCGGCTATTACTTTTATTCAAGGATTTACCCCCATTAGAGAATAGTTTCTATAATGCTATCTATAACTAAGGCAGCATTTTACTATTAAGGCACTACTACAATACTATAGTACTTATATTATATTATCATTATTTCTATTTCTATTACTACTACTTATACTAGTCGGTATCTAAATACCCTATTAGCCCCACGCCTCCGTAACGCTACTACTAAACTATATACCGAGGAATCTATAGACTAGAAGGGAAAGAAAATTCTAGAGAGCGCTATTAGTTAGCTAGAGTACAGAGACGGTAAGCCTACAGGACTATAAGCGGAAACACGGCGGGCGGATAACCTATAAAAAGCCCTATAGCGTTATAAGGGAAAAGAAGAAAAAAGCAAAAAGAAGGAGGACCTTAAAGGCTATTAACTATCTACTATTTATGGTTATAGACGGAGCCCTGCTATACCCTACCTACCGTCGGATTAATATACACCTAACCCTGAAGGAGGAAGGAAAAGCCTACCTCGTTTATTCTTTTTATTAAATAGAAGGGATAATAGGAATAATCCCCGAGGATATAATAAGGCTAAGTTTAGGATACTATAGCCGCTATATTATAGTAATACTACGATACCCCCTTAGCCTCCTACTCTCTTACTAGCGATTAGCCTAGGCTAACCTAACCCCTAGCGTACTGTCCTTCTTATTAGCTACTAGCCTAAAGGTATAACCTAGATATATAATAATGATAAACCAGCGCTATATCGGTCCCGTAGCGGTATTACTCCATCTCAAGAAGAGTATAGAGGCTTTCCCCCGGATTTTCTCCTTTTATAGCTACCCGAGAAGAACCGTATAGCCTAGCCAGGCTCCTATAGATTAGATAGAATAGCAGAGTAAGATAGATTATAATAATAATAATAATAATAATAATAATAATAATAATAATAATAATAATAATAATAATAATAATAATAATAATAATAATAATAATAATAATAATAA